TTTTTTTTTTTTTTGTCCCCCCAGGTGGCCGCCACTGCAGAGGAGATGGTGAATTTTCCAGTCGCTGTGGGCTCCCTCCAGCGAGTGCTATTGCCCATGCGGATCTTCTTCCTTATCCACCTGTTCCTGCTCCTTCAGGCTGGGAGGCTGAATCCAGGTAGTGTGCCTGACCTGCAGCCTCGCCAGCCAGGACCCGAGCTTACCTGCTTCTGCTCAGCCCTCCTGCCAGGTGCTCCCAGGGCCAAGACCTTGCAGCCCGTGTCTGCAGGCCAGGTGCTAAGATACAAGATTTCCATCCCAGTTGTAGAAGAGCCACAGCCCCCAGACTACCACCGGTCCCACACACAGCTCTCCTCCATCTTTCCAACCACCAAGCTCCCCTTACACATGTCCCACTTCCCAAAACCCCACGCGCAACAGGGAATAGCAGGAGAATGCCAGTACCAGTACTGGCCTGTCTTGGGCTAAGCCAGTTGGCAGGTAGCTTTACTCCACTCGTGCGTGTCCGCCATGCTTCAGAGTAGGAAGGCCCTTAGGTCTACCATCCATGATGGTAAAAGCTGCCAACACAGTATACAGCGATTATGAAAATGCAATTTCCTTAGCTGGAAACCAGGAATTTCATGATGACCAAGCACAGCCCTCGAGCAGCTCAAGGTCAAGAGAGGAGGACAGATGTGGCATCAACAGATGAGCAGCTCTGTGAGGGCCCAGATGCAAGGGGATGTGTCCAAAGGTCTGGGAACCCAGCTGAGAAAAAAAGCCCAATTTGCTTTTTCTGGAAAACCAAGGAGAGCCAGAATGGAGACACAGCTTGAGGAGAGACTTGCAGGATGGTGCTCTCCAGCAAGAGGGCAGTGGAGCACATGCCCAGGGAGAGGGCAGGTGTGGGGTGAGGGGTGAGCAGCTGGAGAGAAGCTAGAGAGGAAGGATGGCAGGAAGTGTATTGGGACCTCGCTCAGCAGCAACAGAGGGTCTCCAGTGAAGGAGTGAAAGGAATCCATGGAGGGAGGAACCAGGGCGCAAGCGCCAGAGAGGAGAGGACGTGCAGGCTGGCAGGCTGGCAGGCAAGGACGGCAAGCAGAGGCGCACTGTAGGCGACAAGCTCCCAGAGCCCACGGGGAGGCGCCTCTGAAGAGGGGGCGCAGACCAAAGGCCCTCTCAATAGACACCGCAAGCAGGGTTTAGGTAGAAGGAGTCATGAAACAGGGAGCCTCTCTGGGTCACTTTAATATCCTCCGTTGTTACAGAAATTGAACATGTGCATTATAAAAAATTAGGAAATCAGACAAAGCAGAATAATAAAACTTCTACTCTCGTTATACAGACATTAGTCCATCTTCTATCAGATCTTTTTTTCAGAGCATTTATGCAAATATGCATTTAAAAAAAATAAGACTATAGCAACACATTTTTTGGAACTTACTGGACGGGGGGAGGGGAGAGGTAAAAAATTCTATTTTATTTAGTTCCCTGGCCAAATTTAAGTGTCCCCAAAGTAACATTTGCAGCTGGTTGGTTCAGCCCGACCCCAGGCACTGTATCTGTCTGCAAGGTTCCTTGTGCACGTTTCAATCTGGCACGTGCGCTTTTTTTAATGACAACCACTCATTCAAGATTGTCCTGTGGAGTGTGTCTCCTTCCTCGTTTAAATGGCTTGCCGCAAATTCCTGAGCTGCGAAAGAGCATGATAAAATCTCATACTCGGGAAAGCTGATTTTTCGCCCTCGCCCTGGCTCCTCCTTGTAGAGGAGGTCAAGGTGGTCGGCCCCGAGGAGCCCATCCTGGCGCGCGTCGGGGAGGAGGTGGAGTTCCCCTGCCACCTGTCGCCGTACCAGGACGCCGAGCACATGGAGATCCGCTGGTTCCGCAGCCGGGCCTCCGAGGTGGTGCACCTGTACCAGCAGCGGCAGGAGCTGCTCGGCCAGCAGCTCGCACAGTTCCAGAACAGGACCAAACTCATCATCGACGACATCGCGGAGGGCAGCGTGATCCTGCAGCTTCACAGCGTCATCCCGGCGGACGAGGGGGCCTACGGGTGCCTCTTCCTCTCCAGCGACTTCTTTGGGGAAGCTGTGTGGGAGCTGGAGGTAACAGGTGAGGAGCCGCCAGCCAGCAGGGGAGGTGGAGAGGAGGGTCCACTTGAACAGAGCTGCTTGTCCAAGAGTAGCCAGAGAAGAACGGACAAAGGGCGAGTGTCTCCAATTTCGTTAAATGGTTAAAAAAGAAAAATTCACTAAAAGTGAGGTCCTCGCACAGGAGGTGACCCACACTCCACAGCTGGAATGCGGGGGAGCAATAGGAACTGGGTAGAGTAAATACTAAAATCTTATTAACAGAAAAACATAAGATGCAAAAGAGATTATATAACCTGCAGATTTGTGTAAGAAGAGAGAAACACTCAAAAGAAACGCAGAGAAAATAAGCTAGGAACCAATGAGAGCGGTTGCCTTGGAGAGGGGCGGATGCTGTCGGGTAGAGAGAGCAAAGGTCTGGACTTCCCTGACATTTTTTACAATATTAACATATAAATCATGTTTATTATAATTATGTAAATATGTATTTAAAATATATATATTTAAAATATAATGCTAATTCCATGCTAATGGGGAAATAAAAGAGTGCTTAGAATAAGTACTCTAATTCTACTGGGATTTGAGAGAAAAAGAAGAGAATCTATTGAAGTTTGGGGTGGAATTACTCTTCGTTCTAAGGGAATCGTTCTTTGCATAATATAGCAAAGTACCTGTAGATGTTCCCAGCCAAAGGCCCACTGCCCAGTATTTCCAGATGTCCCCCATGGGTCCCCACTTCTGATGTGACTGTTATTTACAATCCACATGGGGGGGGTCTGCATATGTTTTAAGATGAATCACAGTTAGCAGCGCCTTGTGGTGACTATGAAGGGTGAATGGTGGCATAAATTTCATATAAAACTTCTGCTCTTTCCCACTCCTCTTCCCCAGGACTGGGTGAGGACCCTCACATATCTCTTGAGGGCTTCAAGGAGGGAGGCATTCAGCTGAGGTGCCGCTCCAATGGCTGGTACCCCAAGCCCAAGGCTCAGTGGAAAAACCATCAGGGACAATGCCTGCCTCCAGAGACAGAAGCCATCATCCCAGATTCCAGGGGTCTGTTCAATCTGGAAACTTCTGTAATCATCCAAAGGGGGACCCACAGCAATGTGTCGTGCTCCATCCAGAACCCCCTCCTGGACCAGAAGAAAGAGTTCGTGATCCAGATCGCAGGTCAGTGGGTGCCAGCCCACCCTCATCTCTCTGGTCATCACGTTTTCCATGTCCTTATCTCCCTGTATCTGTAAAGGCACACAGATACTGGGGCCTGGTGGTGTAAGGGGAAGGCTGTCCCTGACTCTTGAAAAATCAGCAATGTGGATACCAGGAGCTTATTAAGAGTATAACTGACAACCAAATGGTAAGTAGGGAGGTCATAGAAAACCCAAATTTCGTACCAAAGACTATTCTCTAAAACCCAGAAACCTTACTTACTGAGATCCTCATGAGAATCCATGTGTTCCTCATGTCATTCCTCAAATAACAATGATGAGCACCCACAAGCACCCAAAACCCCCTGCCCTGAGGCTGACATTCCAGAGGGGGAGACAGGCATAAAAGAGTGAATGACACCCTATGTTAGGTGCCTGAGAGAAGAATGGCGGGGGGGGGGGGGGCGGAGGGGAGGAACGATGGGGCACTGAGGCCTGGCTGGGTGTAGATGTGATTGGGGATGGGGAAGAAGGTAGTTAGGCAGTAAACTGAAGGTGAGGCCGTTACCTAGGCTCTAAGTTTTACTACGAGGCACCATGAGAAGATTTAATGTGTGCAGCTCTAATTGCTTTAAGACTTAAGGACAAACCCAACCAATTTCCTCATCAGTCCAAATCAGTTGTTATGCTGACAGAAAGAAATTCCACCCTTATATACAGTGATTGTCCGCAGGTTAGAGGACTTGACAGCACCCTGTGTCACAACAAACTTCACCTGAAGTTCACCTTGACTAGGGTGTTAGCTAGCTGTCTTTATCCGAGGGTGAAACAAAACATCTCAAGGCTCTGAAGTGCATGGCTTGCCCTGGAGCCAGGACCTGTTCTCCCCAGCAGACTCGAGACAAAGGCTGCTCTTTGATGTTTACATCTCAGAGACTTGGCCTGGGTTCCTTAAGGAACATATTCCTAATTTATAAGCTAACAGGGGGCTATTTGGCTTTTCAAAGGATATACACACATCTCGGTGGTACAGAGGAGGGATTTACAGATTTTCTAAAGAACTTCTCTAAGAAAGGGAAGAGGAGTTCTCTTTCCCTTTTTGCCCAAAGAAAATCCTTTTTTTTTTCTTTTTAAATTGTGTTTATTCTTCACAAAGGGAATGAATCACATAAATATCTGCAGGGAGTGCTCTCAGGCAGAAGGAAGAACAATTGCAAAGTGTGTGCTTATTGGCTGGACCAGAGAGAGAGGAGTAGGCAGCAGCGAGGGAGGCGCCCTACCCTGAGCCCTTGAGCTTGCCACCTACATCAGTGCTTCAAGCGCTGCCCGGGTGAAGGTCCAGTCAGTCCATTGGCTTTCAATTAACCCAACACTTTCATGCAGGTAATAAAAGCACACTGCTACGGAAAATTAGCAACAAAAAAAGTACTCACTATACCAAGTAAGACACAGGAGGACAGATACTGTCTGATTCCACTTATAGCCAGTATCTGTGGAAGTTAGTTAAGAGAAGGGAAGTAGAATTGAAGTCACCAAGACCAGGGGGAGGGAGGGGGCGGGGTTGGTGTTTAATAGGTACAGAGTTTCCATTTGGGAAGATGAGTTGTGGAGGTGGCCTGGGGAGCTACAGTCATGTGACCGTATGTAATGCCACTGAACTGTACCCCCAAAAGTTAGGAGGTTATGTTTGACATAATGTATATTTTATAACAGTAAACAATATATATATATATATTTTTTTTAAAGTAACATTGTTAGGGCCCTCCCTGGTGGCGCAGCAGGTTAAAGCACAGCACTAAGAAGCTAAAGCCACTGCCACAGGAGTTCGATCCCTGCCTGCCCCGGAGGTGACCCACATGGCGCGGCAGACCTCTCCTGACCAGTCCGCTGCTCCCCTCAACAGTGTACTTTGCAGTCATTCTGTCCCACTCTGCTCTGGTGAATCCTTTCACCACCCCTGCACCTCTGGCCCCAGTTCTGTATGCATAAATAAATAAATCTTTTTTTTAATTTAAATAACATTTTTAATTAAAAAAAGCAACAATTTTTTTATAAATATCTTCAACGGCAAAAATTCTATGAAACTGCCACTGCGTGCCTGAAAGGTTACTCTCCATTTTTTGCACGTATTTCTTCACTGTGTGTCCACACTGGCCTCAGCAGCCCCTCCCCGGGTAGGCTGGGGAGGGAAAGGGGGGGCTCCCAGACATCTAGGTGGCTGTGCTATCAGTGCTCCCCTGGGTATGATGAGAAGTACGAGCCCAGTGTGGGCAAGAAGCAGAGATGAGGAGCAGATTCAACTGTTTCGGGTCAGCCAGACACCTTGGAGTTTCTTGTCCCTCATGGGTAGCACAAGAACAGGGAGTCGAGCGTGGGGCACAACATTCTAAGCTAGAGACGTGGTGAGGCCATCGACTCTTTTTTCACACACTTCATTTTGGGCTCCTTTCCCCTTTCTGAGCAAGTTCAAGTTCGCTGCTATTTCCAGGGTTCAGCCCATTTTACAGATGGCTGTGGTGGGGCCCTGAGGGCCTAACACTGCAGCCAGTCGTTGGGCAGGAACCCAGGCGTGTGTCAGAATGAGTCGGTCGCTCAGTGTTTAGTGGTGCATAAATGCAGACAACTCTCTGTGTGATGTTTTCCAGATGTGTTTTTACCAGAAACGTCCCCCTGGAAGAGAGCTTTCCTGGGCACTCTGGTGGGCCTGCCACTCCTCCTGGCTCTCTTCACCACCCTGCTGCTGTACTTTTTTCAGAAGCAACGGAAATCTCAAGGTGAGAAGCTGTTTGACCAGCTGGTGCAAGGGAGGAGGGAAACAGGTGGGGAGCACACACACCCAGAACCTCTCCCCTTCCTTCTTCCTTTCAGAAAAGTTGAAGAAGCAGACAGAGAAGGATAAAGGTAAACAGGAAAGGAAAGCGCTCTCCCACGCCCTCACACCCCTCACTGGCAGAAGGGAGCCTGCTGGGTCAAGAAAGTCAGAACTTCAGGTGGGGTGGGGGCTTGGGAGCAGGACCCAAAGGGGTCCTACACAGTCTGCTCTTCGGCTTTTGCCTGTGAGCACCCTTGTTCCCTGGAGCATCAAGGCCTGGGTCTTTGCATTCAGACAGCAAGCCTCAGTGTTCATTGATGGAAATTATCCTTTTTTTATTTCCTTTCTTCTGCAGAGAAACTCACAGCACAGCTGGGTAAGTTTTGAGTACCACATGCATGGCACTGGCTGCTAACTAATGCAATGAAAGAAGGGCTTCAGTGACTCTAGGCTCCCCTTGGAGCCTTTGCAGAGCCATGAAAGGCAAGGATTTCATTCTAAACCCACCCTTTTGTGCCTTGCACTTCACTTCAAATGGATTTCTACGCAGCTGTCAAAGAGGTCTGTCCAGAGACCCTCAAGACAGCCCTGCATGTCTCACCTTTGCAACCTGAAACCACAGAATATGTATGTTTATACAGAGGAGGGAGAGTGAATGCACAAAAAGCAAGGAAGTAAAGGAGAAGGTTACCTGAGTGGGGAAAAGATCTGAAGAACAACCTTTCCAGTAGAACTCCAGGAAAAAAAAAAAGTGAGGTTAGGGAAACTTGCCTTACTATATACCTAGGTCCCCAGGAAACAAAAACAAACAAAACAACAGCCATGTAAGTCACTAACACTATAGTCTGAATTAGGATAGACTGTTTCCTTTCCCAGAAGCATTTCCTTTTATTAGATAGTATAAGTTGGAGGGAAGAAGGGAATGCATTTCTAGTAGCAATATGTCAGAGTGCTTAGTATACACCCAAGATAAACAATTGTATGTAATGTCCTCCCAACCCCTTAAACAATGTGCTCAGTAAGTGACCCTAAGGCTCGTGCAGGCTGTGCCCAGTTCCAAGACTTAAAGTCCAGGAAGGTCTTTCTCTCCAGGGAAGTTTATGCTTTTAGAGTAAATGATCAGTATCCTCCAAACAAAACCAGAGCCCTAGGAAGAGTACCCACCATTCGAGATGTTTTCCCTTTAGGTCTTATGCAGATTTCTGCCTTAGAGCAAAGAATAGGATGAGGCATACTGCAAATGGACATATAGAGGCAAGGATGGGGTTGGTGTGAGTGGGTCTTTAAGACAAAGGAAGCTTTCCCAGTGGCCAAGTGCTTTGGCAAAGTGGTTCTACCCATCTGAAGGCTAATGAGTTCTCTGTTGTTCTCACAGGGAAGCTTCAGACAGAGCTTGGTAAGTAATCCCTCTTAGAGCTGTTTCTTCTTGTCAACCTTTTATTAAGTGATTATTCTCATATGTTCTTCTCATTGCCCAACAAGATATGATGCTGAGGGTGGGACCCTACAGGCTGTGAAGGTGGCAGGATTGGGGGTACGGGCAGGGGCACCTGTGAGCAGGATTGAAGAAATCTGGTATTCTAATTCTGTGTTTTCCTGGCTGCTTCAGACTGGAGAAGGACGGAAGGCCAGGCTGGTGAGTGAGACTGCTTCCCTCCCATTGTCTACAGCTCAGCATCGCAGCCACTTCCCCTATTAACTAATCCCCATTCACTCTGGCTATTCCACAGTCCTCATGGCATGTGCTAATTCAGTCACCTGGTAGGGTTATCTCCCAGTTTTATTTTGTATTTATTTTGACACTGGCCTGAGGTACTAGCACATTGTAAACCAGTGGTTGTGCATGAAACCCACCTAGAGCCCACCCTCCATGGGTCTGCAGGGGACATTTTGCCCTGTTACAACTATTCTAACCATACCTTCCTTTGCTGCCATAAAGAAAATCATGTAACATGTGTCTTTATTTTGTATGTATTTCTGCACGATGTTAATTTCTCTTCTGTGCAAGTAGATTTTAGTTTGTGAAAATTTTTTTGCCCCAGCTACAAGAAAGGAAGGCAGGAGGCAGAAAGGCTGAGCAAGTCGAGTTTATTGCTCCTGGACAGCAGCTGAGACGGAGCCCCTAGAGTGGGGTCCGCAGCTACTGCCAGCCCTATGGGGGGAAGGGTCTCTTATGTAGATTCTAAACTCAAATCCCAAAAGGGTGACTCATCGCTATGTCCCTTGATGTAAGGCCCAGTTCATTATCACCTTCATCTAATCCCATCCTGGACTCAAGTCCCCGTTAATTGGATGCAAGGCCCAGTTTATTACCGCCTTATCACCCCTGGATGCAAGGCCTAATTTATTACTGCCCTTATCCAGTCCCTCAGTAAATCTCCGCACTTGGTCACTCCCAACAAAAATGACATTGTCAGTCTCACCTGTCTCTTCCTCTTCTCACTTACCACTGTTGCAGTGTCCACCCCTGCACTGTGGGCTCCCTGTCACCTTCCCACTGCAGTCTCCAGTTTAGCCCTCCACCCCCACCCCATTCTCCTGGATAGATGTCCAGCCTCCCTCCAGCTCCACACCTCCACGGACAACACTGAAGGGACAGCCTCAAACCTGGCACCTTCTGGCCCTCTGTGGAGGCTTCTGTGGGATGTATCTCAGGACAGGATTGCTGTCCCAGGTGGACCTGTTCCAAGGGGGATAGAGGGAACTCTGCAGATGTGGGCACCCCCATCCTGCCATTGACAGAGCACGGAGGTTCTGGAGCCTGCATTGCCCTGTGAACCAGCTTTCTACGTGTCAGGCAGTGGGGAGGAGTGATTCTCACTGCTCTTTTAGTGAGCACTCCTCTGAACACCAGGAAACTGAATATCTCTTTCCATGCTACTTAGCTCTTGGGCTTCCCCTTTTGAACACTGCCATTCATTCATGTCCTTTGCCCATGTTCACATGAGATTACTATCTTTTTTTTAAACTCAAGGAGAGAAACATATTAAATTTACAATATGTAGAACTATTGATATACATTATTAACTACATGTAATTTTTCATTAGTGTTTATTTGTATTTAAATAATACTATTTCTAATATATGGTTGGCGTCTATATACCAATATAATTATAATTATGTAAATATATAATATAATAATTATAATTATGCTCATAATTACATATGTATATATAGTAATATATTTCTATTATAGATAACATGCATGTTATTGAAAAGAAATCATTAACTTTGACAAATTCTACTTTGCCATATTTTTACATTATAGTTTGCATTGAATTTTGTTGAAGAAGCCATTCTTACCACTTAGGTCACAGAGATATTTTCTTATGTTTTCTTCTACTCAATTTGTATTATTGTAGTTCTTTAATTCTTTAGTTATTGTAGCTCTGAAATTCACTTCATGCAAGGAATTAGGTGAGAATCTCATGATTTTTCTATACATAATAGAAATTGGGCAATTCAGTTTGCCCAATTCAGTGTACTGTACCATCTGTGCTTTCTCCATGGATGTGTGCACATCAGTGCATATCCAGTTCCTGTGTCTAGAACCTGTGTGTTGGCTCACCTGTTTACTACTGCACTGCTTTTACTGCTATAGCTTTTATAGTACTTGCAATTACAAAATCTCTATTTCTATGTCTGCTTTAAAGTTAATGCACCTATTTAAATAAATTTTAGGATAAATTTATGAAGTTCCTTAACATCAAAAGTAGTTTTATATGGGACTGCGTTGAATTTGTAGATGAATTAAGTTATTCTACGTGAGGGCTATATGTTTTTAAAGTTCTACCAGTTATTCTTATGAAAATCCAGGGCTGAAGGGGTTTGCCCTTTTTTAGCACAATTTCAGCTTTCATGAAGATTTGGGGCAACCCAGGACTGACACCAGTCAGAACTAAGTTCCCAGGAAAATGCCATGGCAGACCCAGACCACTAGGTGTCATGGTGGAAATGGAGCTGTTTAGTTTGTGAGCCTCTGTCAGTGTTCCAGCCCTACTGGCTCAAATCTCTAAGTCGGTTTTTCCTTTCTTTTTGGTTTCAGAGTGGAGAGCAGCCCAGCAATATGCAGGTAACTGAAGCTAAGCAATTGTGGCTAATGACTTGGGTTGGCTGGATCAGAAGAGAGAGAACACTAAATAGAGAAAGGGTTTATCAAGGAGCTATTTATTGAGTCTGCATGTGCACACACACCCAACAAGATATATACATATTGGGGTATAGCTTCTGGGTGTTACTAGGTTTGTTCCCATCTGACAGGAAGGTTGCTAAGGTCTATTTGCAACAGAGAATACAGGGTTTATAAGGAACTTCCAGGTCATTTGGCAGAAGGGATCATGGGGGTTCCCATCCATCCAGTGGTATTTGGAAAATGCTTCCGACCAAATAATCTCAGAAATCCCCTTCAGTTTTAAAACCCCAAAATTGCAGTAAAACAGAGACCAGGGCTTATGTTCTCTAGGTCACACTGTGTGATGGGACCAGGAGAGACTAAGAATCACTATCAGCTTCTTCCCGGTGACCAGGACATGGTGGAAGGAACCGTCCTCCAACCCCCAGCCCCCAACCCTTCCTTGTTTGCGATCTCTGCTCTTCAAGACACCTACTATGGCATTTAGGACCCTTGCAGTTCTGAAAAGAAATAGCATACCTTTCACCACTCCCAAATGCGCAGGCATGACTTCGCTAGCACTGCAGTCCCAGGGCGATGTGGCGGTGAGGAAGGGGGTGACGGTTTCTGACTACTCTACCAGGAGCATGAGAGGATAGGTGGGGAGCAGAGGGTCCCAGAACAGTCCTCGTGGGGCACTAACCCTGTGCCTCTGCGCAGTGGAAGTGACCCTGGATCCGGCCTCTGCGCACCCCAGTCTGGAGGTCTCCCGGGACTGCAGAAGCGTATTCTCCCGTGCAGAGATCCTGGGTCCTGTGGCTGCTGACCCGCAGCGGTTCTTGGAGCAGACCTGTGTGCTGAGCCGCGAGCGCTTCTCCCAGGGCCGCCACTACTGGGAGGTGCATGTGGGCCACCGCAGCCGCTGGTTCCTGGGTGCCTGCCTGGAGGCGGTGCCTCGCGTGGGGCCCGCCCGCCTGAGTCCCGCCAGCGGTTACTGGGTGATGGGGCTGTGGAACGGCAGCGAGTACTTCGTCCTGGACCCGCACCGAGTGGCGCTCACCCTGCGCGTGCCGCCCCAGCGCGTGGGCATCTTCCTGGACTATGACCAGGGCAAGCTGTCCTTCTTCAATGTGAACGACGGCTCCCACATCTTCACCTTCACTGATGCCTTCTCGGGGTCACTCTGCGCTTATTTCAGGCCCAGAGCCCATGATGGCAGCAAACAGCCGGAATCGCTCACCATCTGCTGGCCGCTGGTTAAGACACAAGTGTCTGAAGAGAACAACAGTGACTTCTGGTTACAGCCCTATGATGCCTCGGACCCGGCGCTGGGCCTGTGGTGAGGGGCTCTCTCATGGCAGCGGCCCGGGTTCTGGGAGGCTTCCTGATGCCTGCAACTTCCTCTGCTGAGCAAATACACCAACTCCAGTGTCCGCGCCAAAATGTCAGCAATGGCTACAGACTCAGGCCAGCAGAAGGGGGACGAAGAGAAGGGCTTAGCCCATGTAGATCTGCACATGCATGTGTGTGGTTTCTTGGCATAAGAGGCATTGTCAAAGCTCAACTGTATGTGTTATAAAATTCAGCAAATGAGTAAAAATATGTTGAAGTTGCCTGGCACCAGGTGGGAGAAAAGAGGAAGAAAGAGATTGGAATGAGGAAGACAGGAAAAACTTCATTGGATTGGATTAAAGTTATCCGTGCCTTGCATATATTTTTGTATGTATTTTTTAACTCTTAAGAATGTCAATAAGGAATGTGACCTCAAAAGCAATAAACTCACCTCGATGTCTTTATGTAATGTCTTTATGTAATGTAGTATTTTGGGGAAATTCCTGAAGATGTGGATTGGTTGGCAGAGGACCTAACTATGAGATTACAGAATTGGAGCTTGGAGCCCCACCCCCAAGTCCAGGGAGCAGGAACTGGCTGGAGATATTGCGTTGACTACAATTGGCCAAAGACTTAGGCTAAGGTGCCTATGTAATGATGCTTGCACTGAAACTCAAAATAACAGGACTCAGAGAGCAGCCAGGAGATTTAGGGAAAACAGGGTGTTCAGAGTACAACGAAGCTCTGCTCCCTTCCCACACACCTTCTCCTATGCCCCTCTTCCATCTGGTGGTTCCTGAAATGGATCAAAGCCAGGGGAATCAAGTTGACTCTGCTGGTGTGTCCTTACCTGTGTGCTTAAGAATGCAGGATATGACCCAAAAGCAGACACACAGTGAGAAACAAGAATAACAGGGTTCCTTTACATAGGGAGTAAGGAAAAGGGGAAGTGAGAAAGAGAGAAGGAGGAGAAGAGAGAGAAGGAAGGAGAGAGAGAATTTACAAGATGACACATGGCCAGATGCATCTGTCCTACCACAAATAGTATCTGTTGAGCAAAAACTGAGGTCAAGGCAAAGCTGCACATGGCAAGCTGGCACCTACTCCACAGGCACCCTCCTCACCAGTTAAAATTTAACTACCGAAACACCAGCAGTTTAATTGCTACAGCTCTAGCCCCCAGCCTATTTCCCACCAGTCCTATAGAACATCAGGGGTGGAGTTAGGAAAGCCCCACCTACTAATGTGGAGTTGACTGCAATCTCCTCCCACTGGCTTGAAGGTTGCTTGTCACTGGTCCTCCTACATTCTTAACTTATATCACATCCTTTTATAATAACCAATAATAAGTAAGTAAATTTTTACTGAGTTCTGTAACTACTCTAGTAAATTCATGCAACTCATTGTGGGATCAATTTGTAGCTAATGAGTCAGAAGCACAGGTCACAACCAGGACTTGGCAATAGCATGGGAGGCAGTATTGTAAGACTGTGTTCTTAACCTGGGAGAACTAAAGTGTCTCTAGATAAACAATATCAGCATTGAGTTAACAGTTCAATTGAGATAGTGTTGAAAAAACATATAACACTATAGGTCTAAAACATACCAAGTATGAAAGTGTTTAAAGACTGATGGGGAGATTGCAAATCAATAGAAAAGTGACCTTGAATCATACATTGTACAAAAATGAAGGGTGATGTAATGAATATATATATATATTTTTAATTTAAGTGAGCTTGGAGGAACTCACGTTGGTCAGATTTGAAAATCAAAGTAATTAGTAGCACTACAATTTGAGTAAAATTCAAGAGTGAGTGCATACACACAGACACACACACACATATGCTGTTATACATAAATCATAAATAAATGGGGGAGAAGTAAAACTTCTTTCAAACAATAGAAGTCTCAAAACATCTCCCCCACAATATGCTAATTACTGACATATCCAAATCACTTATCAACTGTACATTATGGAAGGCTGGCAGGTACCATCTTAACCAATCAGCAAAAGTTAACATTACCAATGGAACAAGAACAATTTGTTCAATAAATGGTGCTCAGAAAACCGACTTCTACATGCAAAAGAATGAAGCTAGACCACTACCTCACACCATACATAAAAATCAACTCAAATTGGACGTAAAACCTAAGACAATAAAATTTATAGAAGAAAATATAGACAAAACACTACATGACATACATATCAGTAACATCTTTAACGACACATCTCCAAAGCAAAGAAAGTGAAGGAAAAGATAAACAGCTGGGGTGACATCAAATGAAAAAGCATCTGTAATAGCAAAAAAGAAACATTAACCAAAACAAAGACACATCTTACTGATTGGGAGAAAAATATTTGCACACAGTAAAACTGATAATGGACTGATCACAAAGATGTCCAAAGAGCTCACATGACTCAAGAAAATGAAACAATCCAGTCCAAAAAATGGGCAAAAAAGCTAAAAAGACACTTAAAATGCAAATGGCCAACAGATACATGAAAATATGTTCAGCATCACTTATAATCAAGGAAATGCAAATCAAAACCAAATGAGATACCTCTTTAAACCAGTGAGAATGGCACTTTTTTTTTTACAAATATTTTATTTATTTTAATGAAGTTGGTATGATGTACATTTAAAACCCATATCCCAGGCCAAAGAGTATAAAAATAAAATCAAAAGAGCAGTGTTCTGTTATGTACATTTCTGCATGATTAGCTTTTAACTGCTAGTGAAACTTTTCTGGGGTCTTCTGACAAGATTGTTCTTAAAACAATTTTTTTTTTTAAAGATTTATTTATTTGTGCATACAGAACTGGGGTACAGGCCAGAGGCTCAGGGGCGGTGAGAGGCTTCACCAGAGACAGAGTGGGGAACAGAACAGGCAGATCAACGAAGTACACTGCTGAGGGGAGCAGCGGGCGGGTCAGGAGAGGTCTGCCACGCCATGTGGTCACCTCCGGGACAGGCGGGAATCGAACTCATGTGGAAGCATCTTTAGATTCTCAGTGCTGTGCTTTAACCCGCTGCGCCACCAGGGAGGGCCCTTAAAACAATTTTAATCTTAAAACATTTTCTCTTCACTGAAGCCAGCTTTGGAATTAGTCATTATTCTCACCACATCTGTTAATTTCCAACTTGATATTCCTCTTCCAGGACCCTCCAACTTTAAAAGTAGCTTCAAGTTAAAAAAAAAGGTCATTTTGGGCCCTCGCTGGTGGCGCAGCAGGTTAAAGCACAGCACTGAGAATCTAAAGCCACTTCCACATGAGTTCGATCCCTGCCTGCCCCGAAGGTGACCACATGGCGTGGCAGACCTCTCCTGGCCCATCCTCTGCTCCCCTCGGCAATGTATTTCAGGACCTCTGCCTGTTCTGCTCCCCACTCTGTCTCTGGTGAAGCCTCTCACCACCCCTGAGCCTCTGGCCTGTACCCCAGTTCTGTATGCACAAATAAATAAATCTTTAAAAAAAAAAAAAAGTTCCTTTTCCCACAGTTCAGTTCTCTGAAAACTTCCATCTCCCACTGAAATTCACATTCCAGGAGTGAAGCAATAAACTACTGGAACTTCAGGGCTAATTGAAAAGTCATTATGAACATCCATGTTGGTCAATCTTATTTATCATTAGCCTGAAAATGAGCAGTCCTGGAAATGGTGACCTCTCTGTACATAATGTGTAATTTTTTTAAAAGGAGAGAACAATATGAGGGGGGCTGAGGTTTGATCACCAAAATCAACACAATGAAAACAAACAATAATGAATAATGGGCATTAAAATTCAAATTACCAGGTATTTTAAAGAGATGGGGTGCAGTTTTCAATTCTGTTTTGAACACATTATAAAAGAATTATTCTTAAAAATAAAAAAGGACTAAGGGAAATGAAAAAAATAAATAAAAAGAACATCTAAACCTTTGAATACCCTGTTTATTCCTGATAAACTTCAATTATATCTTCTTCCTCCATTCCCACTTCTTTTGGAGTGTGATTATCAGCAATTCCCTGACCTTCAAAGAGACACCTGAGTGAATTCATTAGAACTCCCTGTCTTTGACAGTACGATGAAGTTTCTTGAGATGTGTCATCATTTTCACTTTGAAGTGAATCTCACTGCTATCCTGACCAATAACTTTGAGTTTAATGTATTCTCCTTCCTTCTTATCCCCCAAGTCCTCAGTTGAAGGTTTGCCTCCTGGTCAGACATAGTGACAGTGGCTTCACCCCAGATCTACACATAGCTGTGGTCTTGGGTAGGCAGAACCTTGCTCCAGGGTTTACAAATCCATCCAGAGTGGCATATATCAAAAACACTAGTAACGACAAATGTTGGCAAGGATGTGGAGAAAAAGGAACTCTCCTACACTGCCAGTGGGAATGCAAACTGGTCCAACCACTATGGAAAGCTGTGTGGAGATTTCTCAGTCTACTAAAAATTGAGTTTCTATATGACCCAGCAATTCCATTCCTAGGAATCTACCCAAAGGACACAAAAACATTAATCCAAAAGGATACATGAATCTTTATGCTTATCACAGTGTTATTCACAATAGTTATGATATGGAAATAACTCAAATGCCCAAGAAAATGTGGTATATATAGATATAATGAAATACTATTCAACAATCAAAATAGATAAACTCATGCCATTTGCAGCAGCATGGATGGAGCTGGAAGGGATCATGCTCAGTGAAATAAGGCAGAAGAAGAAAAATATCGGATGGTCTTACATAGAGGAACCAAATAAGGGATAAGGGAAAAAATAATAATAAATAAATACAACAGAATTAACAGGCAACTATAAATTAGACATTCTGCAAGGGAGGGGAAAAAGAGGGGAAAGAAGAGCATAAGGGACTATGGTGGTGATTCACAAGTGAATTGCTAGTGAGAATTTTATGAGGAATACACATGAAAGGAGAAAGCATACAAGTATACACTGTACAAAAGTGAACAAAGTGTTTTATATATACACATGAAAAAAGAAAAGAAATTTAACATTGCCAGATATGACACAGATACTACACTATTTCCTTCTTATACCATGCAGTATAAAGAACACAACAGTATCAGTTTTATGGTCTTCCTGTCTTTAAAATCCATAAATCCTGGAGATATATCAATAAACTGGCTGACATTTTTCAAAAATGTCAAGGTGATAAAAGCCAAACCAAGCCTAAGGAATTCATTCAGATTTAAGGAGACACGGCAACTAAATGCAGTCGGTGACCCTGAATGAGCTCCTCGACCTCTTAAAAAAAAAAAAAAAACATTATTTGGAGAAACAGAAACATTTTTTTAAAAATGGCCATGTGTTGTGTCAGCAAC